GCCCCCTCACATATACTAATGTGCCACAAACAGGACTTTAATATCACCAACCATTCCCATGTTATTACGGTGTATCCATATAAATGGCCCACCCTGTATATCCATGTATGTAACATCAGCAATAGGCTGACATGTCTATGATAAATAGTGTTGAAGAAATATTATACAAAAAACAATCTTTGGACTTGCAAAATAAATTCGTCACAGTTGTGACTTATGAAACACTTGAAGTGTGTGGTGGTGCGCTATAGAAACAGCTACGAGGACAACGTTTTACCCACATTCTGCTCTCTGTCTTTCATGGACAGCTGAAGGTCTGTATCTGTTTGACCAACACAGGGTTGCAGAACAGACGGCCCACAGTGAAGAGTACGTACACTGCATATTGTCTGCATTCGCACAAAATCCAGTGTGACACCTTCTTGCCTGGTTGTGTGGAGGTGTGGCTACGCCTACCTTGACTTTACAATCAGAAATTGTTTGATTTACAGCAGTAGTGTGTGAATGTTGTGTTTCCAGACCTTTAAAACACGACACATAATGACTCGCTTTATGTGAGCTGATGTTCCTTGATAAACAGTAACATAAAATAATAAATGCATATGTTTTAACTCAATTCTATAAGCAAACTTTTCACATTTAAACAGATGAAATCTTGACGTCAATGTTCAAAACCGCTTAATAATATATACACTTGGCATATAATTGACTATAAATAATACATTAAAGTGCATCACACTTGTATACCTGTAGGCAACCACATGTTAAGAATATCACATGCCCGGATATTGCAGTAGTAGCTGTAGAAAAGATGTCCTTGAACATGTCAGAGAAGCTGAGTGGAGTACTGCGAGTTCCTTTCTTTCGTTTTCTTCCCCTCTGTCGTAGCGCTCTCACAACACTGAGGTAATCTCATCTTGAATCTGAGAGATCAGGATCTGGGACAGCACAATTCCTGCAATCTAGAGGACAACAGCAGCCACTTTAGATCGCAGAAGAGGCTCTCTGTAACTGTACGTTCTGTACCGAGCATCTCAAGGTCCCTTAGCAGGGTGCTGCAATGTGGCGCTGGGAAGAAAGGTTCCCAAATTAGTTGAGACTGACTCGAATGAGTCACTTAAAATAATTGCGCACTCACATTTGCACGCGCCTGTCAAGCCGATCATAAGGTGTTCTTACAGAGAGAAACCAAACCATTGGGTTGCAAACACAGCTTTTAAACAGCAGTCCATAATTAACACTTTGGCTTGTTATGCAAACAAAGTAAGTGTCAGTAAGTGTTTTGAGAGGATATGCAAGACTTAAAAGAGAACTTCATCAGATTTACGGCACATCAAAGCATTAGAAAACTAATGCAATTGCTCTGTCGGGCCTTGTGGGTAATTTGTGCTTCTCTTCAGATTCACTGCAGAGCCGAGCGTGCAGATGAGAATGAGACAAATCAGTTTAAACATCCTGTGCTAAAGTTACACCTTCTGCTAGATTGCCATTTAATATTAGCTGAAACATTTCAATAAGTAAACAGAGTAATTATTTAGAGGCAGCTCGTTATAAGTGCTAATTTGATTTCATGTTTGCCTAATGTGTATCGAATGGTTTTATTTAGTTATCAAGGCGTGTTTTTAGCATCATTGGTAGAGGGGCAAAACAAAATCATCCCC